CATTATCCAATACTAAAATATACAAAAGTAATGATCTACCTGACTCTTGTGGAACCAACACAGGAGGATTGGATAGATAGTCTTTGATCTTGTCAAATGCCTGTTGACATTCGCTTGTCCATTTCACCGCAGCATCCTTTTTTAACAGCTTGAAGATAGGTTCACAGATGACAGTAGACTGAGCTATGAAATGACTAATATAGTTAAGTCACCCTAAGAAACTCATTACCTCATTCTTGCTCATTGGAGAGGGAAGGTCATGAATGGCTTTGATCTTTGATGGGTCCGATTCTATACCTCGACGACTGACAATGAAACCTAAAAGCTTTCCAGCAGGCACACCAAAGACACATTTTGCCGGATTCAGTTTCAGATTGTACTTGCGTAGCCTGGCAAAGAATTTTCGTAAGTCCTCCAAATGATTTGAACTTTCCTTTGATTTGATGATGACATCATCCACATAAACTTCAATTTCCTTATGGATTATGTCATAAAACAAAGTATTCATTGCTCTCATGTACGTAACCCCAGCGTTCTTTAATCCAAAAGGCATCACCTTGTAGGTATAGATACCCCACAGCGTGATGAAGGCAGTTTTCTCAGCGTCGTCTTTGTGCATCTCAATTTGATTATAGCCGGCAAATCAATCCACAAATGACTAAGTTTCGTGCTTAGCATAATTGTCAATTAGTATGTGTATGTTTGGTAAGGGAAAGTTATCTTTAGGGCTAGCTTTATTGAGATCTCGGTAATTTACGACCTTGCCGTCTTTCTTGGGCACTGGAATGACATTTGCAAGCCAAGTTGGGTATTATGTCACTTGGAGGATCCCAGCATCTAATTGCTTTGATACTTCTTCTTTGATTTTCAGACTCATCTCGGGCTTGTATTTTCTCAGCTTCTGTTTTACCGGAGGACATGCTGGATCAATGGTCAGTCGATGGGCTACGATTGAAGTACTTAGCCCTATCATGTATGCATAGGACCATGCGAAAATATCCTTATTGTCTATGAGAAACTCGGTATACTCTTTTTTGTCTTCTTTTGTCATATAGATGCTTACTCGGGTTTCTTGTATTACCTCTGCTTTTCCCAAATTCACCACTTCTGTCTCTACCAAGTTTGGATTGGGTTTTTTCTCGAATTCCTCAACCCTTTTAATTAACTCCTTGGGAACCTCATTGTCTTCGACTTCTTCTATGTCATTAATGTTAAGTTGAGTAGTCTCTGTATGCCATAGTCTCATATTTAACATTTTTATAGTGAATTTTGCTGGTGAGAAAAAAATAGCGAATAATTAAATATAAGGCAAAAATGGGGAAAAGAACTTTATTGATAAAGATGTGAAAATTTCATAAGTTCTCATTTGAAAGCAATACAGTGGATAGGAATTAAAAGGTTCATTAAAAACTATTTTTATTTGAATTAAAATTTAATAGAAAACATCTTCTAAGGCTACCTAGATGCTTGACAAGGTCTAGATGGAGTCGAGGTCCAATTGCTGACTCTGATCTTTGCTTCCTTGCTTCCACTAGGGCCCCCTTTCTCCTCCTTGTTGATCACGACGTTGCAAACTTTCGCCTCTTCTTTGGTTAGCGACAACCCCTTCAAGTCTTCTGAGATCTCATCAATAATGCCTCCCATGAAACCTGTTGATCGAAATGATTGATGCAATGGCGGTATGGGTTTCTTCAATGGATAGTAGTACCCATCTCTAGGTGGTTGCCAATCGAGCCATTCTTCGGTAGTGTACTTATATCCCAAGCCAAAAGTGGTGGAATGTCAAACAGGTTGTATAGGTTCGACTATCCCTTGCAATTCAGCCCCCAAACCTTTCCCAAGCTCAAAACCGAACCAGGCCATCATATCTATGATTTTTTGGCTGAACCAAGGTTGCAACTCAATATTACCAACAAGCTCCACTGTATGGTACATTTCACCATCCATATACTCTCTTCCTTCAATTGTGTATACAGGATGCCCTTTTCTCCATGGACTACAACCTCTTCGTAATCCCATTAAAACTTCAAGCATTGGTGAAGAGTAGATGGGACCGCCCCAGCCATATGAATCCATGGACGACCCAACAATAAGTTGTATGATGAAGGGATGTCCAAGATTTGGAAAGCTATGGGGAAAGTGACAGGACCAATGAGCATGTCCAAGGTTATCTCCCCAATAGTACCTCTTTGAGAGCCGTCAAATGCCCTCACATTCATCTTCCATGTCTGAATTTTTGCACTATCCACGCCCAGCCTCGTCAGTGTGCTCAGAGGGCAAAAGTTTAAACCTTAACCTACATCAACTAATGCTTTGTTTATCACCTTATCCTGATATTGAACCGAAATGTACAGAGCTTTATTGTGGGTTGTTCCTTCGAGTGGCAGCTCATCATTGTTAAAAGATATTTTGTAAGCCTCAAAGACCTACCCCACCATTTGGGAAACCTCTCCATAAGTGATGTTAGATGGGACATAAGCTTCACCAAGGATATTTAGAAGGACATTTCGATGAGTTTCAGAAGATTGCAGTATTGCAAGAATTGACATTTGGGATGGGGTTTTAGTCAGCTGCTCAATGACAGAGTATTCTTTAGCTTGAACCTTTTTCCAAATACCCTGATCTTCAAGATCTACGACTGGTGCTTGGATTTGCTAGAGCTTTCCTGAACCAAATTTTCAAAAGTGTAAATTCTTCCAGATCTGGTGACCCCTGTTGCAACATCTGTCTCTTCCACTTTCGTTTCTTTTTTGTTGTAATGCTAAGGTACGGCATGTGTATCATATTGTATTGGGGAAGATGTCTTATAGACAGTGAGTTGTGGTCTGGGTGCAGCAACTTGTACTTCAAATGGGGCGAGTTCTTGCACTAATATCGGTGCTTGGGTGGTGGTAGACATGGCTTCTTCTGTTTCGAGGGTCCAGATAGATTCTTCCCAATCCCAGACATCACCAGCTTCCACCATGTTGACTTGATGGTTAGGAAGAGTATTATTCGCAACATTCGGTGTAGGATCCTTGAGTTGGATGGTTTTTGTATCAATCAACATTTGAACATTATCCTTAAGGGCTCTGCAAACTTTGGTGGTGTGACCCTTCATCCCAGAATGGTAGGCGCAGACCTTGTTGGGGTCGTACCATTTTGCGCAAACATCCACAGGTAATGCAGGAAATGGGGAGACGTACCCAGCCTGTTTTAGTCTTTCATAAAGTTGTGTTATGGGTTCAGCCAAAGGGGTATAAATTTTTGTAGGTCTTCTTTCATAGGGAGGTCTGTTTTGGTAATTTGGTGTTTGAGTGGGTGGTGGAGTTTGGAAGTGTGTTGGTTGAACACTATAGACAGGATATGAGGCATGCAAATATTGAGGGGGAGCGTTTTGGTAATATATTGGCATGGGTTGGGGAGATATAGGGGTGGATCTGAGGGATGTTAAGGGTATGGCGATGGTGGTGGGTTTGTTGTCTTGTGCCTCAAATGGGTCTTGGTTCCATGTGCCATCATTACATAACCTATTTTCTTTCAATTTTCTGTCATTCCACCAGATTGCAGAGCCTTGTTGGTTGCTTGTAAAGCCTCCAAGTTGATGATAGTCCCATTCTTTATGCCTTCTTCAATTCTTTCGCCTAGTTTGATAATTTCAGCGGAACTCTTTTCAGCCACCAGCATCATTCGGTCATAGTATTGTGGTTCTTGGGCACGGATGAAGTAGTCTTTCATCTGAAATTCCTCCATAGGGGATCTGGCCCTAGTCGCTTTAGACCTCCATCTTATGGCATATTCTCTGAAGGATTCACTCGTTTTCTTCTTCAAATTTTGAATGTAAAACCAATCAGGTGCATTTTCAATATTAAAACCAAACCTATTCATGAAATCAGTTGCCATATCAACCCACTCCACCCATTTCCGTGAGTCTTGCTCAATATACCATGCTAGGGCCTCCCCAGTAAGACTCCCCATAAACAACTTCATGAGTATCCTATCGTCTCTTCCTACCCCTACAAATTTGTCACAATACATTCGTAAGTGGGCTTTGGGATTCCCAATGCCATTGAACATCTCAAATTTTTTAAGCTTGTATCTTTCGGGCAGTTCTACATCAGGGTGCATGCACAGATCCTCATAGCTTAATCCTTCTAACCTCTTGTTTCTTTCAACATGATGTACCCTGTTAGTAAAGCTGTCTAATCTCTCAGTCAGGTTTTTTATTAGAATGTCCTTTTGGTGGGACTCTGATTCATGGAGGTCATGGTTCAGAGGGGCAGTTTCCATTTATATTGGATTAAGGTTGTTTTTTCCAAGAGTATATGGGACATTTACGTTTGGGGTTGTTTCTAGGAAGGTTGGTTTGGTTTGTTGGTAATAGTGGTTGAATGGAACTTGGGTATTTTGGGCGTGGGGTGGTGGAAAGGTATTTGGACGAGTGGGTTCAGGTCGGGATATATTGATTGGAGGATTGTTTGGCATGGTTGTTTGGTTAGTGTGAGGAAGATTGTCTATGTTTTCTCCAAATTGGGTTCCAAGAGAGATAGACAGCTTGGCTAAATTGCGCATCTGGGCTACCTCTTCTTCCAATTCTAGAATCTTGCGCTCTCAAGTCTTAGGAAAAGATAATTTTGAAGTTGTCCTCCCTCAGAAGCTTCTAAGCTTTCATTGATGTTGTTGTCGTCAACCATTTTACCTTTATCTTTGGAGCTTGCTCTTTGAGAAGAAGGAGAAGGGGGGGTCCCTTTTGATCGTGTATGTGCCAGGATGAAGGACAAATCAACCTTGGGAAATGTGAAAACAATAGAATCAACAGAAATGAGTTAGGGTTAGTATAATATCATAATATCAACATGTTGTTTAAAGATAAACGCCCTAAATGCACGGGACCTCGTTGAGACAGAGGTAGGCCTAAGCGACACATAAGTGATGCATAATAATTAATTCAAGCCTTATTTGCCAATTTGGAGTTTAGAGTTAGACAATTAAATGACTTTCAAATATTGAAATAATTTCTATTTATTACATCAATCTAGAGATAACTAAAGGGCTAGGGATAACACGTGGGGAATAAAGTGGAAAAAAAAACTTCAATTATGTTGTTCTCCAATGTGAGGCACAGTCTGCTTCCTCATTTTTAGGGTAATGTCATAATCGGTGTTGAGAAGGTTGCGAGCCCATCTTCTCTCTTTTTCATCGCCAAAACCAGGAAGACCTCCTTCGCTCAAATCTCTATGCTCTTTGTCTTCTAAAAGCCATACATAATATTCAGGTGTGCAGAAGGGTCGGTGCTCTTGAACATCGATAGTTATCACATTCTTCCATCTTCGTAGTATAGTGTTCACTTGCGGTAATTCTGACCCAAAGTCATATCCATAGTGGCTCATGTTGGATCGCAGAGGTATCATTTGGATATGTCCGAATTATCGAAGGACTCGAAGTGGTGCATATGGTTGCACACCATTCAAACTGATAAGCTCAATGAAGTAAAGTTCATTTCCTCTTATGATGGCACGTCGTGGCTTCAACCAATAATACCTCCATTGGATTTCAACGGCTGAGCGCTCCTAAAATATTTCATCCTTAGGCAATGGTTGATAATTTTGTTCCCCATAGTCCCTCGAATTATTAGCTCTTTGGTAGAAATGTTCGACGGCCCAAAGTTGCAGCAGAAAGTTGCACCCCTCAAAGTATCTTTTGCCTTTGGTGCATGCAATCAAGACTCTTAGAAAATCTGCAAGTATCATGGGGACTAAGGTCTTCCCACCTCGAGCCAACATACGAACCACGTAACACAAGCCGGTGTGGATCTTTCCTCTTTCTCTAGGAAAAACCAATGAGCCTAATAGGGCGACGGCGAATGCATTAAGACGATATCTTTCCCATTTTGTAGAAGAGCAAGCAAATTCTTTGTGAAAGTTTTGATGACCTTCCTCATCCCCAAAGCGTGAATATAAGAACTCTAAAGAAATCCAACCTTTTTTCAGACAAAGTAGATTTGGATTATGACACATGCCCATTTGCTTCAGAAAAGATCTTGGACTTGGCTTGTGTGGAACAATCATTTCCTGCTCTTTGTATGTGAGACCCAGGAATCCTCCAACCTCTTTGATTGTTGGGGTTAGCTCAAAATCCTTGAATTTGAAGACTAACTTCTCGGTGTCCCAGAATTTCAATAATGCCTTGATTAAGTGACGATCTGACTCTACGGAGATCAAAGCAGTGAGGCCGCCTAACAATTCATTTGCTTCTAACTCTTGATTTTTTTGAATATATTTCCACCAAGTCTTCAAAATGGGATTAACTTTGACCACCATTTGCGTGTTGGGAAAATAAGGGTGAGCCATAATTCTGCAAACAAAGTAACAAACGACTTCTAAACTCTATTTTGATAACGTTGGCTTGATTAATTATTATGATCACGTTGACACATAAATATGCAATTTGTCTAAGGGTGTTGGGGCCCTTTAGACGAGAAGGTGGCTACTAATTATGTGGATTGACACCAAGGGTCAAACCACCTAGGGCTTATGCAGCATGTATGACTTAACCAGGACTTCTTAAAGTTGGCTTGACACGATCTTGAAAGGGATTCTATGCGAGAGGCTCGTGGCTTCGCGGTAGTAAAACTATCCGTTACATCCACACATATGCCGACTCTCTATAATGGGTATTTGAATAGGATTGGAGTAGTTGAGAGAGGTGCAAAGGCACAACATCACGAGAACAAAAAAAAAGAAGAGGATCCCAATTGGGGGAAGTATGAGCGAAATGTCAGTTATCAAAACAATAAACACTTAGCATTTAAATTGGAAAACATTAACATATAGACAGTTTATAAATAATAAATAGATAAATAAGCATAAAGGAATTTAAACATATAAAGATATTAAAAAATCACGCAAATAAGAAAAGAGGGTATGGGATTTAACATGTAATTAAGCAAATAAGGGAAAAGGGAAGAGGTGAAACATGGTAATAAACAATTAAGGAAAAGGGAAAGGGATGAAACATGGGGAGAAGATAGTAAATAAGGCAACAAAATAAGCTAAACATGGTAAGCACCTAACAAATAATGAAATGACAAAAATAAAGTAAACCCTACATCAATAAGCAATTAACACGTAATGGTAAGAACCTAATACCCCCAGCGGAGTCGTCATTCTGTCGCGCCCCATTTTTCGCAAAAAATGGGTTTTGTGAACGACCTAACAAGTCTTTTGGGATTTTGAGTTTGGAGTCGCCACCTAACGAATTAAGGCGCGTTAGGGCACCTATCTAACCTAACTAAGTCTAGCTAAGGTCAGCGAGCCAGAGATTAGGGTAAGAGTTCAAATTACCTCGAGGGAAAGGTGTTAGGCATCCCTCGAGGTCCACAAATGTGGATCCCGGCCATGTCTCATGCAATCTATGTGGGGGTTACAAGTAGCAAATAAGGTAACTTCATTTATTAGTTTATTAAAGTAGCATGCTAAGTGATAACAAATATAAAACAATTAGGCCTATTTTTATTTTTTTATTAGTTTGAGCATGCATGGCTAGGTGATAGCAATAAATAAACAATCAAGTTTTATTTTTTAATTAAACATATGAGACTATGTTATATATAAAATTTGCAAATATTAAGCAATTAATATGTGCGAAAGGAAGTTTTGAAAATTGAGCAAGTTTTGAGAAATTTTTATGTAAAAAAAATTTTTTGTGTCTTTATAGGGGTGTTGTCACGATATTGTTGATCGCGCTCCTTCACCATAGAAACAATTTTGTTTTGAGGTCGGCCTTAAAAAGTTTATATTTTTTAAAATGATTTAAAAGATTAAGTTTGCATATAGGTACATAAATATTTACATATAAACATACATAATTCCTTTTGAAATTTATGGGTAGATGGTACTTCCGGGGACGCGTCGGTTTAATTTAAAAATTGGAACTAGACCTCGTAGTCCCTTTGACTTTCCCACTAACGATAGGTTAGGAGATAGTGCTAATAATTTATTTTTTTTAAAAATAAACAATGTCATAATCAATCCAAAGTTTTAAAGGATGATTGAATAATGATTTTTTTTAAAAAAAATGTTGCAAAACTTTGTAAGAAGAAAAAATTGAACATTAATGTAGTAAATTTATAAAATGCAAAGATTTTACAATGAAATATATTAAAAGTCAAATAATTTATTAAATGCAACAATTAATTTATTTTATTATTATTTTAAGAAAAAAACATATTGCATCATAAGTGCGAAAATCTTCAAAAGGACAAATAAAATTACAAATTAATAAATTAGCTAATTTAAGAGGGGGGGGGGAATATGCACAATAAATTTTATTTGGAGAGGGTATGCAACAAAATTATTTACAAACCTACAAACATGATTTCTAGGTGTTCAAAGCGGAGTAACACATATAGGCATGATTTGTAAATCTAAATGATATAAACATTTTAATCCTGACATGATGATTTCTACGTGACAAAATAATGCTAAAAAGTTATAACATATTTTTTTAACATCTAACAGCCTACTAAATTATTAGAATTTAATTTTAATATTCAAAAATTATTGAAATGTTATTTTTAAACTTATTAACAAATAAAGCATCAAGCATGTTGAAAATTGGTTCGATTAAAACACCTACGAACAATAATTCTAGGTGGTTAAAGATTTAAAAACAAAAAGAATAAACCTATAGGCATGATTTCTAACTTTTAAAAATACTATGAATAATTAGCATGTAAATCCACTTCCCTTAGACGATCCCCCAAATAAATTTATTTATGAGAGCTTTAGAGTTATACAAATATTACAAAATTCAAATAAATAACTAAGAAAAATATAGATTCAAATATATGAATTAAACAAATAAATCTTTCTTCATGACTAATCTTCAACTTGAACTTCAAATTTGAAACATGTCAAAGCAATCAAATAACTACACAAATAATCACAATTTATTTAGTCAAGATGAGACACATATGCAATTATTTAATGACGAATTATACATATAGAAAAGAATAGACAATAGCTTACAAAAAAGTGTGAATGTAAAGATAATGTAAATGTTAAGAATACTAACCAGTTAAGCTAAACAAATTGATCCAACTTTTACTCGAACAAAATCAAAGTAGCAAAATAGCGAAGAAGAACACTTGAATGTATACCGAAATTTTCATGTATTTGAAGAGTAGCAAGAGAGCAATGAGAGGATGAGGAGTGATGAGAGAACTTGTGATTGAGAGTGAATGAGTGTATGAGTTGATGAAATAATGAAGGGAGGGGGTCTTATTTATATAGCAAATAGGGGGAAACAAATAAGGAAAAGAAATATTAAAGGAATCAATTAAATTCTATTTTCCTTATTATAAAAGAGGACCAAAATCAGATAAGTTTTAAAATATTTCATTACCAAATATAAACAAGTAAGAATAAATTGATAGAGAGTAATATATTTTCTCCTTAAATAAAAAGAGACAAAATTGATACAATTTTATTTTTCCATATATGAAAACAAGAAAGAGATCTGTCAATTTTAATTAAGGGAAGGGGGATCAATTAATATTATTATTTATTTCAAAGTAGCCAAAAATCGAAAATAAAATATATCATTACCATATAAGCAAATAAAAATAAAATTGGGAAGAGTAATATATTTTTTCCTTAAATAAAGAGGAGCCAAAAAATCAGAAAATTTCAAAAATATCATTACCAAATAAAATATTTTTTACCTTAAATAAATTATTTTATATTAATTTTTCTACCATAGTAAAAAAAATACCTTAAGTTTTAATTAAAGTAAAGCAACAAGTTTACCATAAATCGTCCACAATTTTATCAAATCATAAAGACTTCACCAGAAAATTAATCAACAACTTACCAATTTAATTAAATTTAGATTAGATAAAGAAGTCAATTAAGGCTCTCATATTAACTAAATATATTACTAACATTTGTAGACAATTGAAATAACTAACTAAAAGGAAGCAATAGAACTTAAAGACCCAATCGTATATCACTATTCACAAATCTACCATAACCATTCAAAGGGTGAATCAACAAGAAAATTAACAATCTACCCAAAATAACAACTAAGTAGGATGATGATCAAGTTGAAGCTCAACATCGAGGTCATAACAAATTATGACTAGCAACAAGAAATCATGTAAAAATTAATTAGGAAAAACAATCAATTTAGAAGCAACCTGCATTAGGAAAATCAAAATGATCATATCCAACAACAATTAGTTCGAGAACCAGCTAGACCCATTTACGAAGAAAATAAAAGTATTCAAGCGTATAATACAGTGATATCAATCGGAGCTTAAAATCAATTAACTCAAATCTACGAATAAAATTGTAAGATGAACAAATATAAGAAGGGTCTTAACGATTCATGCTTAGCATAATATTAACAACTACTGTTAATGAGAAAATCGCAACATCACATATAAAAAGAAATTGTTGTTCAGAAGACAACCGATAATTAATCAAATACAAACCTGGACGGATTTATTGAGACCCGTCTCGCAAGTTTCCTGAATTTCAAGCCTCGCCAGAGTTGCTCACCGTTGTTGCTGCTTGCTGCTGGAGTTCTGTCTGAAACTCGTCGGTGCAACTACTGTTGTACCTGCAAAGAGAGAAAAGAGGAGGGAGGAAAGATCAGAGCGGGAAGGAGAGGGGGGTTCGGGCGGCACTGACTGATCGTCGATGGCTACTGGCTTCGTGCAGCTGCTCGCTGGGCTGCTTGTTTCGCTGGAGCTAGTTGCTCGCCAGTGGAGCTCGCCTCCATCTTCGCGGCGTTTAGTCGGACCAAGGAGAGAGGAGGCGGCTACCTGGGGAGAGAGGAAGTGAGGGGGCGGCTGGAAAAAAGGAGGTGGAGAGAGGGAGGAAGAGTAGAGGAGTCGGGAAGAAGGGGAAAGACGGGAGAGGGGAGAAGAGAAAGACAAAGGAGGAGCGAGAGGGAGATCTCACCGGCGATGATGGCTTTCGCCGGAAAAAACGGAGGAGAGGAAGAGAGAAGGGAGAGGGGAGGGATAAGAGAGGGGGGAGGATAAAGGGAAAAAAATCTTCTTAGGTTTAGATAGTTCAAAATAGAGAAGAAGAAGGATTCGATCTCAACCATTGATTTAATAAGAGATGAAAGGTTAAGATTTGATTAATAAAATAGACGGATGA